AAACCTGGCTTGAGTTAGAGCTAGCTAGAAATTACTAGCATGGATTTATTTTCTTTGTATTTACTTTTTTTGACTTGAACTCCTCCTTATGGCAAGCAATAATGACTTTTCACCTAAGATTGTAATATATTCCCTTTTTAAATTAAGTAAAATCACGTAAGAGACTCTTCATCTCAGGAAACCAACTGAGGGGTGCTGGAGGGGAGGGGAGTGGGGGGTCGGAATAGGGTGGCTGGACGATGGACATTGGGGAGGGTATGTGCTACGGTGAGTGCTGTGATTGTGTAAGGCTGATGAATCACAGACCTGTACCCCTGAAACAAATAATACATTATGTGATAATAATAAAAAATTTGCTATGAATACTGATGTAAAAATAAAGTAAAATCAGTTTTAGTTATTCAGAATGAATTAAGTCTCAGGGACAATTGTGTACCATAGTAGCTATAGTTAACACTATACTTAATCCTTAAAAGTTTGCTAAGAGGGTGCCTGCATAGCTCAGTTGATTAAGCAACTGCCTTCGGCTCAGGTCACGATCCCAGAGTCCTGGGATCAAGTCCCGCATCAGGCTCCCATCCCAGCTCCACTGCTTCTCCCTCTGACCTTCTCCCCTCTCGTGCTCTCTTCTCACTCTCTCCCTCAAATAAATAAAATCTTAAAAAAAAAATTTGCTGAAAGGGTGGATCTTAGGTGAAATGTTCTTATCACATAAAAAAATAAAGTGGCAGGAGGAAACTTTTGGAACGGGTGGATAGATTTGTGGCATTGATAGTGGTGATGATTTTATGAGTAAACACCACGAAATGCATCAGGTTATATACATTAAATATGTACACTTTTTGTAAGCCAATCCTACCTCAATAGAGTGGTTTGAAAAATAAAAAGAAGGGGCACATGGGTGGCTCAGTTTAAGCCTCTGCCTTCAGCTCAGGTCATGATCTCAGGGTCCTGGAATGGAGCCCCGCGTCTGGCTCTCTGCTCAGCAGGGAGTCTGGTTCTCCCTTTCCCTTTCTCAATTACATACGTGAAATCTTTATATATATACAAACACACATATAAAGTCAGGACTCTCGGGTTTGAGTCTTAATTTATCAATTTGGTGTCAGCTACTCTAAACCTCAACTAGAGGTTTAAAAAAAATAAAAAAATTAAAAATAAATAATAATAATACCTCAATGGAAATTGAAAAAAAATTAAGGGAAAGACAAGACTGAATCAAATGTTTAAGATAGTAAATAATCATCCTACAGACAGCACGTCCCATCAAAAGAAACAAAAGGTCTCTCTTGCTGTGGGTTAAGGATATAGAAACATTGTTTTGTCTCAACACTTTTCAGCTGTGACAAGGATAAGGATTTCCATACAACTGTGTACGTGAGAAGGGATGCTACCATCCTCCAAATCGCCCAGCTGTTAAAGTTCTGCTTCATCATACTTGTAGGCTGCCCCCACACAAGGCAGCCCGAGGGACATGGTGGCTTTGGTGTCTGTCCTTGAAGTCCTGTGCATGTTTCTCCAAGGGACAGGGGCCTTCCCACTGATCTCATAGCCTTCAGAATCATTTCCAAACAACTGCCACACACATTTGCAAGTTAGTTACATTTTGAAATCTGCAAGACCGGCCTGCCCTCAGAATGCATTCACTGGATCAGTTACGGAATCAAACCCCACTCCCTTGTCCATCCGCAACACACAATAAAACATGAAAGCACCCGCAAGTTGGTAAAATAGATTTTATTTTTTCATACAAAGAAATAGTATGAATTAACAGAATTTTTTTTTCCCTAGAAACATCTTTCTCTGTGTAAAATTACTTTGTGTTATACATAGGACAAAATACTTGTTTTAATTTTTTTTGTACATATTGGCTATTCTAACAACCAGGTTATAGAAGACATACGGCTAGAATCTGCACCGTATTTCAGATTACTGGGCTGAATGAACTCAGTCATAAATTAATGTTACAAAAGTGAAAAAAAAAATCTAACCACACCTTTCAGTTTAATTGACCATCCTTCTTGAGAAACTGAAAAAGAAAAATGACACGGACGTCTGTGTCAGCGTTTGAGGTAACACGCTAAGTATTTCTAGTCTACTGGAACCTTCCATTTTCCTTTCTTATGTAAATACCCTGGCAGGATCTGAAACTGTTTCTCCAAAAGCCTAAAACGTATCTGTCACTCAAAATGACTTCCAAAGAGAATCCCATGAAAAGACAATGTCTCTTTCTCTGTCATCCAAGTATTTATTATGTAGTCACTATACCTAAATACCTTTCCAGGTACCACCTCCCACATTAACCAGACTACAGCACAAACACCTCAAAGCAAGCATGGGGTAGACAGGGACCATAAACACCTCCAATTTCTTTTTGTGGTTGTTGTTAACCTTTTTGTTTTTAACGAGCAAATGAAATGGAGAGGAATAAAGTACCGCCAAAGAATTATCAGAGCTTTCCCTGTAAACTGGAAAAAATCCAAAGTGTGCCCAGGGAAAAGGACTACAACACGAACTGCTGTCTGTCTTCTAGCAGCTAAGAACTTGAGTGGGTGGCCTTGGAGATTGCTAGAACAGGAAGAAACTCAAGGCTAATTGTAGGAGGAAGACATGTGGGCCCAGGCTTTATGATAACTATCACACGATGGGGTGTAACTGTGGGACAGATGCCGCGTCTAGTTGGGTTGGGAACTGTAAGCTATCAGACCCCTGTGAAGAGATGCGTGGAAGCGATCATTTATTTATCTTCTATAGGAAAACGTGCTCTAGTCCATCCTTGTTAATTATCAACATCTGTTTGGATTCGAGGATTTGACCCAGAATAGAATCCTGACTCACTTCAATGTTCATGACTCAGTGACCCTCCTTCTATCCGGAGATTTCCTGTTTTAGTTGTAAGGCAGAGGATAAACAACTTAATCAAAACTGTCCAGCTTGGAAAGATGACAGGGACCCGAAGGGGAAGGAAAAATGCATGCGTGTTTTCCTACTGCCTTGTCGCATATCCTTCCCTGCGCTTTTTCTGCAATGCTACATCATGAGCCATTATCAGGGCACGAAAGTGGCCAGAAGGTGGTCAGGGCAGGGTTCCATGGAGGTCGTGGATCCTGGCTTTTACTTTAAGCGATGTTACGTTGTAAATGGAAAGAGGCATTCTCCACTTTATTACGAATAAGTAGGCTTTCTGACCGGAAAAACACACAACCCATTAGCACCCTTATGCAGATGTCTCGACACCCAAGCAGCAAGAAGGGAGAACCATGTGGGGATTATGGCATTCCCCTAAATGCAGCTTCTGTACTACTTGGTAGAGGCAGTCACTAAGCTCTAAAATGAACAGAGCATCTGAGGAGTAACGCACTGGAGCCCCCGTGCCCTTCCTCCTGCCCAGAACCAACACGATGATCCTGACTGTTTTGTAGCTCAGTATGAGCTAGCTAGATCTGGGCTCAAACTTGTGGGCGAATACAAACCAATCACCAAACAAGACATCACCCAAGGACCAGAGACGCCGTGATCAATCTCTAAAGAGGAATTATTTCTCTTTTCATACGAGTTCTCTTGCTCTACAGCGCAAGTTCTAGCCCATCCAACATACAAAAGGGTCTTCATCAACATCACACCCCAACCATTCGGACACTGTGTGTCTCTTCCCACAGAAGCCTTGGTGCAGCTCTAACTCAAACGAAAATTCTTCTATGGTAGAAGCATTCTGGTTTAGAAAACAGGGTAAAGCGAATGTGTTCATTCTGTGATATTGCTATATGGTGAACTCGACGGCCACAAGCTAGCCGTCACAAATAATCTCCAACTGCTCTCTCAACAGAGAGGGATGGGGAGAACCTTCTGCATCAGCAGCAGCAATGCTGCCTGGTGACCCTTCCTGCTGGGACCTAGCTCAAACAGGGACATCTTTATAACTGTTAAGCTCGGCAGCCTCCAGCCAACAACATTGTTTCCCCAGCTTGTCTGTGCAAGAGCCACTCTTAGTGCTCGCCGTCTGGCTGTTGGCTACAGACTGTGTTGTCCATCTGTGATGAGCTAGGAATTCTAAGGAGGTGAGTTCCAGACACCAAGAAGGGGGCCAGGGATTCACTTCTTCTGCCAGGCCACCTGTCCTTTTGGTGCTGTTTGTCTTTTCTCCCCACTGAGGTGGTCCATCTACTGGGATGTGCCCCACGTGGGCTGGCTTGGCACCCAGCAGCACCTTGGGGGTGGGGGTGGGGCTCTGAGGGCATAGGATGCACCTGATCCCCACAAGGTCTTGATACCTGCCACCCGTGGGTTTGTGCCGATGGTTCTGCTAGCCTAGGGGATTCTTTGGTGTGTCAGAGCAGAACTGTCTGCCTGGAGGGCCGAGCATGGTGCACTTGTGCAAATGAGAGACCGTCTTTAGTTCTAAAGCAGCACACAAGCATCTCACACACATGACCTGGGAAAGAGGGGCTATAACATCTGCATACTCTTCAAGCTGCTTCATGAACCAGGGACCGGGACAGAAGAGGACGCAGGGCCATATTTCAAAATCATAAGCTGAAGTGAAAGGACCCTGGGACGCAGACTCCAGAGAGGAGGGCGTGTGTCCCTGCAAAGGTAGTAACTCCCCCCACCACCTACAAACTGAACAGACTTGGGGGGAAAAGCCTAGTGCTGTGGTCTGGCCTCTACGTCCTTGGAAATGTCAACACACGGGCAAGAGGCTGCTACGTGACTCGTGACCTTGAGGGAGCCGTGCTGCTGGGGAAGCTGGGGGCTCCTACGAGGTACACGCGGGCAGGGAGGGAGGAACAGAAGCTGGACCATGAGACCCAAGACACAAAGAGATGGCAAGTGAATTCAGACAGCGATCGAAGGCTGCATACCCGTAACAACAAAAATCTCAAGTTGTGCTTTTCTTCTTTTTAAATAAAATGGGTGGGGAGAGGGGGAGAAAAAAAAAAAACCCGGAAGCACCATCCATCGTGAGGAAAAGAAGAGATTCAACACTTTGGAATGTTAACAGATTATGCAGCTAACTCTCTAAAGAGTGTGGCTAGGCAGCTTAGTGAGTTAATTGCTTATGAATTAAAAATAAATTATTATAAAATAGATTTCTGTACATTTTACATACATATAATCTCTCTCGATACATAAACCACGTGGTTAAGTCACACAGCCCCAGGGTCTGCTCAATCCCAGCCGAAGTCCTGGCCGGTCATCTGGTAGAACTTCAGGTTGAACGGCCGGTAGAACTCGCGCAGCCTGCGCACCACCTCGCGGTCGATCTCGGGGTGGGTCCTGCCCTTGGTCTTGCCCAGGCAGTGGGGCTTGCTGCTGCCCTCGGCCTTCTTGAGGCAGGGGAAGCCCTTGGTCTTGTTGAAGTAGAAGTGCTTGTCCGTGATGATCCTCTTGAGGCCCAGGAAGTCCTGCACGCGGCCCAGCTCGCCGGCCGGGTCGCTGATGAGCCGCTCGCCGCTCACGAAGAGCATCTGGCCGATGGGGAAGTGGCGCAGCCAGTGCTCCAGGTGCTTGGCGTAGATGCCGATCTGGATGGCGCTCCACGACGTGTCGATGAGGCCCGTCGTGCGGTTCTTGAACGTCAGGCTCTCGAAGGTGGGGATGTCGGGCCGCTTGGACAGCGTCTGCGTGTAGTCCGAGATGGCGCGGGTCACCGGGTCCCGCACCACCACGATGAGCTTGGTGTCCTTGGACATGGCCGAGATGCGCGCGGGCGCTTCGCGGGTGACGAAGTAACTGGGGGTCTTCTCCATGGTGATCTGGCCCTCCAGGGTCCTCGGCATCAGGTCCCTGGGGAAAAAGCAAGCAGAGCAAAGTCAGCTCAGAAGGAGGTACCTCTTTGGCCACATGTGTCCATGGCAACACTGTTCATCCTGGTTCCCTCTAATTACAGGGAACAGTGCTAGGAAGGTGAAAACATGGAAAAGGAATTTCAGAACTGAAAGGCATGTGAACATCCCATCCGAAGCTTGGAGGCCAGATACTACCTCTGTGAAGTTGGTAGGCACCTTCCTCCAGGGTAGAAACAGCGGGATAGGAGTTGCTCTGAATCCTCCCGCAGGGGCCACCTCTCCCTTATTTTTCCCGGCTATCCAGCATTTACACTCCCCCAAACGGCCAGTGTCAGAACACAAGGTCCTTGGCCTCTGGCTATGTGCCCTTCCTCAACAGCAACACCTGGGACTCCCAGAGACTCTGCTGCCCACGGGTCCTCGCTAGCCTGAGCTCACCCAGCCTGGGCCCACATGCGCTGGGGACAGGAAGGAAGATGTCCCCCCCCTCCCCCACCCAGCCACGCCAGACCAGCGTCAACACAGTGACCACTGACAAAAAGCCTTTACCACGAAAAGCACGCTCAAAGGCCACCAAAACCAGGTGGAATCAGACGGAAGCTAACCCGATACAAACCTGCCAAGAGGAAATCCCCAAGACCCAACTCTAGAAGCTTCCAGAAATACTGTAGATTCCATTTAAACAAAAACAAAAACAAAAACAAACAAAAAAAAAGGACTTGTATGATCTCTATCACTGCATTCATTCACTTAAGCCAAAGGACGTGGATAACACCGTTAGGACCAATGGGAGATGCGGCCCATGAGCCCCACGCCAGGAAGCCGTTTTGTGGCGGAACTGAGTGAAGACATTAACACCAATGGCAGGTGGACCACCGTGCCTCGTCTGCTCTCTGAACTTGAACCTTCTACCACGGGAAACGGGAAGAGCGTCCACCCACTTCATTCCGTGGCTACATGATTCATAAAGCCAGAGCCGTTCAGCCCTAAAAGCTAAGGGAAGCAGGCTCAGACATCAGACCGCCTGGGTTCAAATCCTGGCCTTGCTGCAGCGAAGCTGTGTTACCTTCAATACCTTTCTTAACCTCTCTGTGCATTTCTCTTTGTCCTCTGTAAAGATGAGTGGGATGGTACCTCCCTCGTGGAAGTTTAATGAGGAGGAGAACAATTAACGATCTTAGTACGCTCGGAACACGCCTGACACGCGGTCTGTAACTGACATTCACTGGCTACCCTACGATGACGATCGTTACCAGCATTACAGTGTTCGAGCCCATTTACAGCACCTGGTATGACAAAGTTGGGCACCCATGTGTACATGAAAAGGCAAGGGGATGTGTTAACTCATGGGAGACGAAGTTTCGGTCACGGATGCACCATCTTCCATTAGCTCTGGGACAGCGATTTCTGACTGCTTCCTATATGGGCCCGTGAATTTTTTAAAAAAGACCATTTCCACATCATGTCTGACCAAATATTTACCTCTCGGTGGGACACCCTAAAACTTCCAGCTTTGGGCCACCCCTAATCTGAGAGACCACAACTCTTCTCTTGAGCCCGTTTATGGAAATGATGATACAAAGTTCTATCGCGGGAGCCAGAACGGGGCCGCACGCTGGGGGAGCTCCCCCTTCACAGCAAGTTAGAGGAAGAGGTTTTTCCCTTAAGGAAGCAGGCCTGGCAGCAGCAGGGCCATCCCAGGCTTACGCTAAAGCTGGATTGACCCACTTTGCCCGTTAACCACTTAGGTGAAGTCTCATCGGGCTAATGTGGGCGAGGATTAAACAGAGTTCCTGGCTCTCAACCGATTTCGCATTTTACCCAGGAGCTGGGCGACTCTGATAAAATCCCAAGATCCCACCTCCCCGCCACCCCCCCTCCCCACCCACGTTAAGCCATCTGCCACCACAGTCTACAGGAGCTGAACATTCAGAATCAGAAGGCTACCAGCACGACTAGAAGAAACCCAAACCCCAAGTTCTCTGCAGCCCCTGTATATGCGGGGGTCTGTCCTCAAAGAGTCCGTCCGACCCAGCACTGGCTTTGAAGTCAGGCCGCTCGGTTCGACTCTCGGCGTCCCTGCTGATTGTGTGTGACCCTGGATAGGTCGCCTTACCAGCCCGTGCCTCAGCTGGCTCCTCTGAACCATGGGGGAAATGATGAGGTCCACCCCCTCTAAGGTTCTGAGAGGACTTTCCAGCCAGCACTGGTGCGGCGCCCATAGCTAGCTGGTGTCAAGAAACTGTTATCAGTTATCTTCTGTTCACTGCATCTGGGAAAGGATGTGAGGGAGTGAGATCCACTGGGAGTAGAAAGCATGGAAGGAAACTAGTAAAGAAGGGGCGCCCGGGTGGCTCAGTGGGTTAAAGCCGCTGCCTTCGGCTCAGGTTGTGGTCCCAGGGTCCTGGGATCGAGCCCCGCATTGGGCTTCCTGCTTGGTGGCGAGCCTGCTTCCCTCTCTCTCTGCCTACTTGTGATCTCTGTCTGTAAAATGAATAAATAAAATCTTCAAAAAAAAAAAAAAAAAAAAAAAACTAGTAAAGAAGGAAATGGAAGAGTCTCACTGTCCTCTAGTCCTGTTCCCTGAACTCTGGGCAGATTTCCTGAGCTCCACAGCCTGTGGGGCACCTAAGCCATTCTGGGTACCAGCTCCAAGGGAGCCCTCTGCCCAGAACGGTCTGGAATTTGCACACCTGTGCGTCAGAAAGACTCAAGGGGCCCCAGGTCTCTGTGCAAATGAGAGCCAGGGGCCTCATGCTATGACAGAGACTGCTCAGCACGTGCCCACAGCAAGGCTCTGGGCTGCTCTCCCCTAGGCGTGCTTGCTTGCTTACAATAAGTGGCTGCCGGTTGAGATGCACACTGGGTTTCTCCATCATTTCCCGCAATGCCCCCGAGCCCCTTCTGCTCATGGAAACTGGCTCAGAGACAACAGCTTCCCAGCACACCCCTGTGGGTCCACTTGGTGGGGAACACGGCTTGGGAACTGTGGAGAGTCCCCGGCACCGAACCTTCTGGCAACTTACATGCCAAGCCCTCTTTTTCCCCCTTCGGCCGCTCTGCTCCCCTGACCCCCAGGTCCTGGACCAAAGCCTTCCCCATTCTCTTCCCAGGTCCCTTCACCAGTGGCGCGTCCTGCCCCAACACTCAAAATCTGTCTGGGCGCAAGTGCTTCTGAGAAGAAAGGATCAGGACATGGCCAAGGGCAAGACCCCTCGCGCGCGCATGGGCCCTGCGTGCCTCTCCCAGCGGCCCCAGGCTGGACTCCCCGGCCAGCAGGGAGGATGCAGCTTAATTGAGCCGCTCATTATGAAAGCCAGTTTCTCAAACTGATCGTCACAGCTAATAATTATACAGCGCTTGGGAGCTGGCGAGAAACGTTTGCGCGCATTATCTGATTTAATCCTCACAACGAGCCTCTGAGGTAGATCTTGCAATCTCCAATTGACTAATGACGAAACAAGCCGAAGGGGACAGGGTGGCTCATGCAGAAGCAGGTCGCAGGCTTGCAGATGGGGACAGTTGGGACAGAAAGTCAACGGCCCCTCCCCCCCCCCCCCACCGCCAGGCCTTCCCTTTCTCTCGTCCAGGCTGCCTCCCCTCAACCTCCTGTTTCTGCTTAATAGGACTTTAGAACCACACCCCTGCCCTCTCTTTAAACATACACAAATAGACACCTGTATTTTTTACTCTCTTTCGTAGATTAGGATCTTAATAATAGGTATTTCAGTGCTAGAATCAGAGGACTACGATCGTTAATTGTTTAAATAGGAGTCGGATTTCAAAACAATAGACCTCTTAGGTTCACACTCTCCAGCACCTAGCTGCAGGAAATGGGGCCCGGAGTATGAGCAATGGTGGGAACACCTCTTCCCCTCCAGCGGCCCCGGACCCAGGTCCCCTCCTTCCCTCTTCACCAGGTGGGCAGGAAGGGGCACCTCTTCAAGCACAAGTCACCATCGGGTGCTTGTGATGCCCATGGGGCTGGAGAGGCAAATCTGAGGAAGACATAGGCTTACACCGTGAGAACTGCCCTAGCACAGGCCTCCAAGTACCTGACCAGACAGGCTCACCCACGACAGAAAGCAGAAAGGACCCCTCTTTACCAAAACCAAAGTGGGTAAAGCTGGCATGTCAAAACCTGAGACCTGGGTGGGTCTAGAAGGGTCGCAGAGGCTTTCATCTTGTTGGTGGCTATTCACAAGAGAGCTGTGTGCCACATTCTGGGGCGCTGGTTTCCTCCTGGAGGCATAGCGGGCTCATCTAGAATGCTCTGAACTCCAAGCCTGGGTTCTATCGCAGACCCCCGGAATCAGGCCCCAACGCAGCAATCACTTAGACACACCTGCCACTTACTCTGCTGAGAACAGCGGAAGTTTTCCAGCAAACCCAAGGCTTCCCACTTGTGTCAGAGGCTCAGAGTGAAGTCTTGAGGTCCCACTCTGTCTGCTGAGCAGACCAGGAGCCAGGGTAAGGGAGGGCTGCAGAGAACACAGCCGTCGTAACACATAAAATACAGTCTGGTTTAATGCAGAGAGAAGGAAAGGATGTTTGCTGCCCCGAAACACGTGTGTGCCACAGAAACACACACGCACACATGCACGCAGTCAGTTATCAAACACAAGTCAGGCTGCCAGGGGAACAAAAGGAGGCAAACTGAAGGAACCAGAAGAAAGACAAGGCCAGATCAGCAGCAGCAAAAAAAGTTAGCATCAACGTAAACAGGAGACAGGAAGGCGACCAGGTCAAGAACAGCGCAGGTATCCCAGATCCCTGTTAAATAAATAAATAAAATCTTAAAAACAACAATAACAACAACAACAAAAAAAACCAGCACAGGTAACTGGATGGTCTGATGATGCTTTTGCCGAAGTCCGTAGCTCCAAATGAACCAGAATTCTCTGCTCAAACACAAACAAACAAAAACCACAACAACGACAACAACAAAATCTAAAAAAACAAACAAACAAAAAAAACCATAAAAGCGAAGATGAGTTC